TGCTAAGAATGGAAGGTTGATAGCAGGTGTCCTTTTAATTGGTACCAGTCCAGAAGACCACAGTAGTGGGAACCTAGCAGTTCAGAGTCAAACATTGACTTAAACAGAAGAGTCAGATATGGAACCAACATATCTTGTGAATGTTTTAACATCTCAGATATTAATTTATCATTTCCTGCCGATTTACCACATTTCTAATCGTTCACTGAATGTATAACTTCCTGCTCACCAATTGGTGAATCTAATATGATCTGGGTAAGATAATCAATATTCCCATCAGATTCACCATTAGCCTTCATAGCTGTTAGCAACATCAAACTGTTGCGTGAAATAGGAAAACCAAGCATCAATCTCAATGAAAGATTTAGGCTGAGGTCCACTGGCTGACAAACGGTTTAATGATGACCAGAAAACTTTACTATTTTCAAGCCCAGGATATTACTCAAAATCCTATCTTGGTACATAGAGAGTTTAAAAGGGTTCAGGAACCAACCTTTTTGCTTCCAGAAATGAAATCTTGTTCGTATATTTAACTTTTAGGATTTTAGATTGGTATGATACCAAAATTCCCAAATGGTTGCTGTCGTGAGCCGCACTGCACCGGAAGCACACTATGTTGTGAGTGCAGATGCTGACACCATGTGTGAGTGAGTGAGTTGGGTTTATCGCCGCTTTTAACAGAATTCCAGTTATATCACGGCGTGTCAGCTTAATGTGGGAGGAAAGCCCGAAGTGAAGCAGGTCTCAGATGGTTATCACTTCGGTGAAACCCACAAGCACGGGTATGGTGCTGACAAACCTAGAAACATAATCAGGGGGAACCGGGATTCGAACCCAGGGTTCTGGCGTTCACAAAGGACGCAACTCTGCACAGCGAATCGCGGCGCCTTAGAAGACTGGGCCACCCGTCCCCCCTTGACACCATGACCAAATTTTTACCATGTGTAACACTGAAGTCGATTTGGCACATTCACCTCCACTCCGATATTTGAAATATCCGGCTTCCATAGATGTTGAAAGATTTGGCTTAGCAAGAGTTCAAAAGTAAGTATTTGTTTTGGTAAAAGTGTCATTTTGTTTTTGTAAATCTTTTGATTGCAGTACCTCCTTGGCGTGTTAATTCTGAAATAATCTCTTCCTCGCTCATGTCTGAGAGACAAAGAGCGCGATCTCTAATGATTCCTCCATGTGAGTTCAGTTTACTGTGGACCCACACAACCGAGACATTTACAAACTGCTTTAACCCCAGCAGATGGATAGACCGTTGTCAGTGTTCATATTCCGCGAGGAGAGATCGAGTGCGAAGACGAGTGACATTTTGATGCCCATCGAGATAGCGGACATGTTCAACTTGAGCGGATTAAATGTCCATCTGGTACTGCCTAGGACATATCAAATTCGTTGACGTCGAGGTTGACGTCACAAGATTGGCCACAGCCTTCTGGCATGGGACGCCAGGCACATATATCAGTAAACTGTAATTATGACAAGCAATACTTAGCCCAAACACAGAATAAATTTTACTAACCTCAAAACAAACAAGTTTCAAGCATATGGTTTGGCATGACTAGCCGATTGTTGGTGAAGTCAGGGTCAAAGTGATGTGTGCGGCAAAAGGAACACCTTGTTTCTGGCTCCAGCGCCCTCAATCACCAGACTCCCTTCCTCCACCGACATTGGGGCGCAACCCTGGGCTAACGGGTTGCCCACTTTGGTCACCATTTACGACCAGCAATGGGGTGATGGGGACAGATTCTAACCCGGGTTCCCACGGTGTTCTTGGGTTCTATTATTTTAAGAGATTATGATCTGCCAAAACACAACAATTTTCAGGCCAAGTATAATGAGTTTGATGTGGTCTTTCTGGCACACTTTTCTCTAGCTGAATCTGTGAGGAGCATGTTTTGGTTGATGGCTGCCATGTTGGATGTCAAGTGCACTTTTCGTAATTACTTTGTTAACACATTTTGCTAAGACAATCCGCAGGATCGGTAGTAAAATTACAAGTAATAAATTGTTGTGTTCTTTTGAATAACAATCCCAAAGGGAAACTTTGCTCCTGAGCCGCTCTTGACAGGCACCATTAAACAACATTTAAACTCATTCCTCTTTTGGCCTACTTTTTTCATTAGTGAAATTTGTAAACAGACTGCGCGAAAAAAAAGCAGCAAAGTCTTAGAAATTTGTATTTCATTCCAATTATGATTTTTAATTGAAAATGAATTAATTGAAGGCGGTGTGACACCTAGCAATAAGTCAATTTGCACAATGTACCAACATTATGCCTCTGTTACTATCTTAATTATTCCCAAATTTAATCACAATAATTAACAGTTTCAAACAATTACCTTGCTAAAACACGCTGGCGAGTCTTGTTTGACCGTTAATCAACCAACTGACAAACCCTACAACTCACGGACTAACACGCTGGAGAGTCTTGTTTGACCGTTGATCAACCAACTGACAGACCCTACAGCTCTCAGAATAAAACGCTGGCGAGTCTTGTTTGGCCGTTGATCAACCAACTGAGAGACCCTACAGCTCACAGAATAAAACGCTGGCGAGTCTTGTTTGGCCGTTGATCAACCAACTGAGAGACCCTACAGCTCACAGACTAAAACGCTGGAGAGTCTTGTGTGACCGTTAATCAACCAACTGACAGACCCTACAGCTCACGGACTACAACGCTGGAGAGTCTTGTTTGACCGTTGATCAACCAACTGACAGACCCTACAGCTCACGGACTACAACGCTGGAGAGTCTTGTTTGACCGTTGATCAACCAACTGACAGACCCTACAGCTCACAGACTACAACGCTGCAGAGTCTTGTTTGACCGTTGATCAACCAACTGACAGACCCTACAGCTCACGGACTAAAACGCTGGAGAGTCTCTTGTTTGACCGTTGATCAACCAACTGACGGACCCTACAGCTCACGGACTAAAACGCTGGAGAGTCTTGTTAGACCGCTGATCAAGATATTTTGCAATCGAAGCAATTGTATCTTGTTTCCAATAACACCCCATTCAGCAATAGGACCAGTGGTATCTTAAAGATTTTACTAATTCTTACAAAATTAACCACGATAAGACAATATTTCCTCAAAGCCACAGGTGCGAAGGCGTCGGCGTCGCCGCTGTGCACTGGCGCGTCCCTGTATTTCAAAACTGACGTTTTATGCACTTGTACTTTATGTTGGATTGTACTTGTCCATGCCTCCATGACAGTGCTTGTATTGAATAATGGTTAGATTACTAGCTGTCAGAGATATGATAAATGAAACGCTGAATCCTTCACAAACTTTGCGACTTTTTGTATATCCTCAACCTCAGAATGTCATCCCATATCTTTTTCTTTCGATTGTTTGTGATGCAGGACGAAAACAACGAAAACAACACACCGGAATTGCTGCCAACTTCTTCAGTGAGAATTTCGACTTCTGTGGCCGAAAAGTTTATTATCCATGATTTCTTTTCGCAAATGTCCTCCATTTTACTGCGCTTCGTCGTCTGCTCAGAGCACCTGCCACGGTAGATAACTCTAGTGTTGATTTTCCTACCTCACAAAGGGAAAGAGCTCCAGTCGTAGTGTTTTACGGGTTTGTAAGTTGGCCGAGGTGACGGCAGTTTTAGTGTAGCTTTGTGAAACAGTCTTAGTCCATGGCGTAAACAAAGCGAAAATATGGCGTAAACTCTACGAGCGTGTACATTTACGACTGCTTTGTGAAACGATACCCTGGTTTGCAGGTCAGTCATATACTCGACACTTCCAAAGTGTCAACTCTGTACATATTCTCTTGTGTCCTGGATTGCAGGTAAGTCGTATGCGCGATATACCAAGGTCCAGGTGAGTCATACTCTTTATACACCAAGGTGCAGGCAATTCCTGTGCTAGATAGACCAGGTACAAGTCAGCCATATGAAGGACACACTCAGGTATCGGTCAGTCTTGATACTGTGTTATTTTCATGTCCTAATTGTAAATGTATTTTTGTCTCTGATGCTCAGATAAGAAGAAGAGGTACCAGCAGCTGCAGTCCGGCGAGGGATGGTCCCCACATTTAAGGACAACGGTCAGTTACAGAACAACCAAACCATAGCTTGTGGTCAACTATCGACCGTGTGGCTGGGAGGTCAACCTACAGACAGGAAAAAACTATTGTGTGCAAGTGTGATACAGTTCTAAGGAAAAAGCACAAACTATTTGCAGCTATAACATGCTAAATAAGTAAAGAAATCTTGAAACTGACGTCACATGGCATTGTTTCATCGGTATATCTGGCAACACAAATAAAGAAATGTGGTATTGTGACGTGTTTGTAAGCTTTGTGGTGCTGAATTCTAAAGGCAGCTACCCTGGAGCCTTTAAACGGTCTCCAATATTTACAAAGAAGACGAACGTTCGCACAACCATCGGACGTGATCCCACCATGGCTACTCCTCAATGTTGTTTAGGTAGACGTTCTTGGACGCCTCAGCTCCACATCTATGGTGTGCATTTCAATATACAAACAAGAAAACCTTGGATGGATTGAGAAATATCTCTTACACACATGCCCTTCTCCCCAACTTCACTTCCTACTGGACCCGTGAAGATCCGGGGTAGAACAGGTCTTCAGCAACCCATGCTTGCCGTAATAGGTGACTATGCTTGTCATAAAAGGCGACTGACGGGCTCGGATTGTCAGGCTCGCTGACTTGTTTGATACATGTCATCGAACCCAAAAGCGTGGATCGATGCTCATGATATTAATCACTGGATTGTCAGGTCCAGACACGATTATTATATAGCTTGAATATTGCTGAGTGCATATGACTTGAACTCACTTTCACTTGGTCGTCGTCATAACATCACATCAGACTACAGTTAATTGACTGAGGTGTGTTCATGTCTTTCACACGCATTCAAGGCGCCCAAAACAAACAGGCGTTGCTTGGACACAGTGGTGGATTCACGCACCCTTACCTTCATCTCCCAGTCCAATACGTTATATCACACGATGCTGGACAAGATCGTTCTGCTGGGACACGCTACGGTGGGGAAGACCTCACTAATCCAACAGTTCATAGAGAGATCATACCGCCAGACCTACTCCCCAACGGTCGAGGACTTTTATACACAGGTTGTCAAGTTTCCAGGTGGGTCTGAATCTGACTTACAGTTATGTTAACGGATGAAATCTTTCAAATCAGGACCAATCAGGATCTCCTTCAATTCTAGACTAAATTAATGGTTCAGAATTTACAATATTAATTTAAAGCGAACCTTCCCAATTAAACTGTCATTGAAGGTGAGGTGAAATGGGGTTTGACGTCGCGTTCAAGATTATTGCTCTTATATAGCGACGTGCATGCTCGCGTGAGTGTGTGGCTGCTTCTACTAGTCCGGACTGATGTCGATTTATAGTGCTAGACCACTGACATGCCATCCCGCAGTTTAACATGAACACTCCACTCAGACAAAGTATGCTGACTCCGAGCTGATCATCTGCTCCGGACCTCCTGATCTCCGGGCGGACGCTCTAACACTAGACCACAGAGGCGGTCGCTTGGGGATGCAGGTTAGGTACAAACTCTAGAATGACAATATCAAGGAAAGACTTCGTGCAGAGTACAAATGCAGGTTTAAGAAAATCTGGATTTCAGAGCTGAACGCTCGCAATAAAGTTAAAGTCACAAAAACATAATCTTGCCCGTCCTTTCATATTCTTTTGGTGATGCTGATTGGACGAAACACGAAATCCAGGGTATTGACACCCTCACACGAAGAATCATGTCAGACAATAGATCCCACTACCCTCACTCTTCCCGCAATCGCTTATATTTACCAATCATTATGGGAGGGCGTGGTTTGATTAACGGTTGGGCCCTTTATGATAGAATATTGTGCACTTTTGCTCACATTCATTTGTCTGATGATCCTCTTGTGAAGCATGTCAAGACTCATGATGAAAAGAAGGCATACCAATTTTCGTAAACGAGCTAATGTGGGACATAATCTCAATGTAAGTGTTGAATTTGTTGATGGGTCTGTACTGCTGGACGGTACAGAAATGAGTGTCAACCAAGCGAAGTGCTCTATCACATCGGCTCAATGATCAGCTTTTCAAGAAGAGGCTATTTCAACGACCACTGTATCGAGTTGATATGCAGTGTGTTGAGAACCCTGCAGGGTCCTTTGCTTGGATGAAGTTGACTCCCCTGAAGAGGGAAACAGAAGGCTTTCTGTTTGCTGCTCAGGACTGATCACTTTCGACTCGAAACCGTCACTCTAAGATTTTGCATCAAAATGTAGATATGAAATATAGATTATACAATGAATTTAATGAAACTGCACAACACATTGTCAGTGGGTGCCCAGCTCTGGCACAGACACAGTATCTTAAGCGACATGATGGAGTGGCTCGATCATTTTATTACCGTCTTCGCTATGCTTGTGGTTTTGACACAGAGGTCCATCCCCGGTTCGACCCAGAATATGTAGAGAGCGTCATGGAAAATGATAAATACAAAATTCTTTGGAATAGGCCCGTATACAGCCTCAGACGTATCCAGGCCAACAAACCTGATCTTGTCCTTTTTGATAAATCCAATTATATCATTCATATTATTGAATTTTCTGTCTGACAAGATTCAGGAAAAACATGGCAAATATGCAGACCTCGCTTTCGAAATGTCATGCTTGCATCCCAAGTACCAAATTATCCGACTTACCATTGGTCTCGGTGTCTTAGAGTGGGTGCCTCCAAATCGGTTGACTGACATTGGGAGTACGCGGGTTTGCTACCAGGAATACAGCCTTTCTGACAATATGGGTAATGAAAAAAGGCTGCAGTGTTGGGGAGTCTTCACATTCTCCCAAAAGAGCTGGGTGGGTTTGGCTAGGCAGCGCTTCCTGGGAGAAGTCCTATTCGCTGTCTGGGCTGCGTGTAGAGGGGGCAAGGACCCTGAGCTGATGATGAGCCTAACCAGCCTGTCTTGTGCCTCTTTGCTGCATTTTTTTTATTTTAATTTGTGTGTAATAACTGACTATGCCAGGAACACGAATACCCTCGTTGCTGAATTCGTTATTTTAATCTGTAAATATAATAATAATAATAATAATACAAATAATAATAATGATCGTCCAAAAACAGTAGCATATGCTGCTGCTGCTGCTGCTACTACTACTACTACTATCAGGCTACTACACGGGTGTTCAACGCGTAGAACGTTTAATATCATTCACTGGATTGTCTAGTCCAGACTTGATTATTTACAGGCCGTTGTCATATAGCTGGAATATTGCAGCGTAAAGCAACAATCAAACAATAGGGATTTCATGTGCCTTGTCGTCAGAGTCAACTGGAACCGAGAAGGCAGACCGTGAACCTCGATCCTGATGGTATGGAACATTGATCATGGTATCATGGTATCAATAGGCACTGTGTTGAAAGTGCCTGTGACAGTGGATATGTTCAGTAAGGATATGTGGCAGTAGACATGTCTTGAAAGGGTCACTGACAGCAGAGTGTTGTGAGGATCAGTGACAGTATACATTGTGTTGTAGAGGTCTGGAAGGAAACATGATCTTTTAACGATATATATATTATTATATTGTGTTCCTGTGTTTTTAGGTGAACACTTGACGTGTCTTTGCGTGTGTTTGTGACGGGTGTCAACGTGGGGCAAATTCGCTCACTGTATCGCAAACTCATGGTGTCATCACTATTTGATAGTAATTCATGAACACATGCTCATGACACAGTTGGAATCGTACGATCACCTCTTCTTTCAGCAGAGATTCCTGGCAATGGATGGGGTTTTCTTGCTTTATATTTTTAGTCTTTGGCCTGGGTCAAAACCCTAACGTGATATAATGTCTCGCCTCTATCTTCCCCGCAATGTATATATGATACGTCGAATAGTTTGCCTATAAATTCCTTGAATAGGTGTAGTGATTTCATTTCATTTGCAGATGGCCTGTTTCGAGCTTTGGAGATCATCGACACATCCGGCGGAGATGACTTTCCTGCTATGAGATCTCTGCGAGTCATGCAGGGAACAATGTTCATCGTAGTGTACGCCATAGACGACATGCATTCTTTCGGGGAGGCCTTCAAATACTGCAACATGATCAAGACATGTAGGAGTAAGTAACCACATACAGGGTTCGAGCAGGAGTAAACGTCATGGAAACATCATGGCATTTTATACAATATTTTTTATACAATACAACTTGGAAATGTTTTGGAAAATGAAAAATAACCAAGAAGTCATGAAAATATCATGGAACCTTTCATGGCTAAACATTTGTTTATTAAAGTGTATCTTATGTTCTAATGCGTTCCTAATAGATAAATTTTTTCAAATTCAGTGCCATGACCGTCTTTAGCCAAAAATCCAATATGGCCGTTAAAATACATTTGAGTAGACATCACAAGGCGATTACATTTGATAACTTCACCTTCTCCCCTCCAAATTAGTGTTACTCAATGGTTTGTATTATATCTTATATGGAATTTACTTCAATTTGTTGTTGGTATTTCGTCGTCCACTCATCAAGGTTGTCTCTGCCAGTGTGGGGGCACGGGTGGCGCACTCGTCTAAGGCCCCGCGATTCGCTGTGCAGAGTTGCGTCCCTTGGGCACGCCAGAAACCTATGATTTTGGGTTCGAATCCCGGTTCGTCCTCATTATGCTTCTAGGTTTGTCAGCACCATACCCGTGCTCATGGGTTTCACCGAAATGATAAACGTCTGAGACCTGCATCACTTCGGGCTTTCCTCCCACATTAAGCTGACACGCCGTGATATAACTGGAATACTGTTAAAAGCGGCGATAAACCGAACTCACTCACTCACTCTGCCAGTGTATTAGAAAAACAGTATGTTAATCATGTCAATTTCGAAAAGGTTGGATTATATCTTTTTCCCCGCCTGTAACAAACGTTCAAACAATTTGAACGAATCATACTCTGAACTACTTCTTCTCGAAAAAAACCTTTTCATCTCCAACCGTATGTCATCGAACACTGATTCCAAAAACTGCTTACTGCCGACACGATGTTTTCATTATCATGCTATCTTTGGGGTATCAACCTGCTCCGTCATCTCTTAATAACAGGTAAACAGTAGCAATTAGACAACCCATGTATAGTCAGGGATGAATAACTTTGCTGGTTAGACAAAGTAGGCATGTTGATCAACCCATTTTACTGTTAACAGGGGTGTACAGAATTAAAAAAAAAAGACATTTATGTTTTATTGCATCATTTATTTATCTGTGGATACAGTATACCACAGAGTACACGTGTCCCTGGTTCTTCACATGAAGGGTGTATATCTGTCCGAAAAAACACTGTAACGGATAAAATGTTCCATCGGCATATATAATGTCTGCATCACAGAAATGTTCCAAGTTAGATTTTGTTACGAAAATCAGTATTCGCTTGTCATTCCCTTGGTTGGGAATTGTATAAACTCCTCATATATTCCAAACAAGTGCTCTACACTTGCAGAACTCCACACTCCACTCCAAATCTTGGCTATGCTTTTCCATACTCCAACTACCCGCATTTACGAACGCATTTACTTTTACAGTTCTTAACTGAAACAAATGCCATTAATCCTATCCCATTACCAAGTGTTCGAAACTATTATCTGCTAATCTCCATTTTGTCGAACAATTTTTAGTTCACTTACATTTCCTAATTGAAAAAAAGCCTTTAATTAATCGTATCCTTTTAAAAAGTGTTCCAATCTATTATCTGCTAATGTCCGTATTGTCTAACATTTGTTTATTTCACGTACATTTCCTAATTGAAAAACAACAACCTTTAATTAACCTTATCCCATTACTCAGTATTTGAATAAATACAGTGCAAATTATCTCTATATTGAAGCACTATCTTAAGTTGTCCCGACCCAAACACCCGTATGCCCATTGATAGTCTCTCCCAAACATAGTATACGGGCCCATGAGTACACGGAGTACACCGAGCCATGGGTAAACCACTCATGCATGGTTAGAAAACACAGGCATAGTGAAGCTCGAAACATTAGACGACCAGGGTTGTAATCTTTGACGCACGACTATCTGTGCTTGTACAAAAACTGCTGGTGAAGAAAGGTTATTCCAACTTGACGTATTCATAGTCACGTGTAAGTTAAGGTCTTCCAGGCTTTTGGTGTCCCTCGATGAGTTCTTTTAATTGGCCTTTTCAAAGTTTACATAATTTGTTGCAGAAACAGTCGACATTCCTATTCTACTCGCTGCTAATAAATTGGACAACGCCAAAAAAAGAATCATCACATCAGAGATGGCACTAGAAATGGCAAGAAAGTTAAATTGCCCCTATATCGAGGTGAGCGCCAGATGGAACTTGAATGTCAAGGTGATGTTCGAAATGGTCCTGTCGATGAAGCTCGCTGAAGGAAAGGAAAGCACAGTTCAGCCAAAGAATGAGGACAAAGTCACACGACGCCTCTTTGATTGCTTCCCAAGTGAGAAGGATTCTCCGGATCCGATTCGCGGGAAGTTTCCCATACGGAGAACAAATTCCTTCCATGGGTTCTCCCAACCAAACATTGCAGCGGCAAAGGAGTTTTGCAAGCGAAAACAAAGTTATGATGTTAGTCCGAAGTGTCAAATGGGTGTTTATATTCACACTATTAATAGTCAGGGAACATATCAAGCGCAAGAAAAGGTGAAATATTTAGTTCCCAGAGATGTTTTATAGGCAGTTAGTTGTTCACACATGGCAGGGGCACGGGCGCAGGTGTAGAATAGTAACACTCTCATTCTAAGTAGTGGTTAAAGCGTTCGCTCGTCACGCCGAAGACCCGGGTTCGATTCCCGACATGGGTACAATGTGTGAAGCCCATTTCTGGTGTCCCAGTTTCTGAAAGTATTAAACACTTTTGAGTTTTCCAATTTGTCTTTTTCTGTTACCTAAATTTACTCAATAGCAATGAAATTCAAATAGGATGCATTTTGCAATTGTGAGGAAATATTTTCATTTCAATTTTCGTTTCTGTTCACCGGACAATAACGACTTTTTCTATCAACTCTACGTTGCCTATAACAAATATGTAGGCCACGGGGGAAAGATGTTGCCAATGATATCAACTGTTTATTTATACTATCTATTTTAATGTAACAATGCCGAACATTTATCCACTGATATGGGCTTTCCACTAATAGCGTCTACCTTCAAGATAACACGTGTGTGTCATGCCAATAAGTATAATGTGTATCGCTGATGACCCTCAAATATGTTACTCTTTCACAAATCTGTATAAACGACAACGTATTTTATCAGCCAATAGACTTGCTGTGCTGAGTTGCGTTCCTTCTGAACCAAAGATCGCTGGTCGTGATATATATATATATATATATATATATATATATATATATATATATACTACTCAAAAGAAGTTAAGGATCACCCGATTCTTTTATCATGGTAAAGTTAATCTGTCATGCCATGAGAGATTAACGATAGTAATATGAAAGAATCAGCATCAGGTGATCCTTAACTTCTTTTCAGTAGTATATATATATATATATCCCAATATATTATATGTAGCACGGCCCGTGAAGATCCGGGGTAGAATAGGTCTTCAACAACCCATGCTTGCCGTAAAAGGCAACTATGGTTGTCGTCAGAGGCGACTAACGGGTTTCTGGTGGTCAGGCTCGCTGACTTGGTTGATGCATGTCATCATTCCCAATTGCGTGGATCGATGCTCGTGATATCAATCACTGGATTGTCTAGTCCAGAGAAACAAACAAACAAACAAAGGAAAGTAACGCTGGTTACGCCTCTGGGATCGTCTATCCGTATTGTGTGCATAAGTATAGTCTTACGCCGCTTTCAGCAACATTTCAGCTACTTCAAGACGGGGACACCAAAAATGTCTTCACACATTGTGGCCATGTGGTAAATCGAAGACTGTCCTTTGGTCACTAGGCTACCCCGCCGCCCAAGCATTGATGAACTGATAAATATTAGAAACTATATCTTACAATTATTACAATGTATTAAAAATGAACTTACTGTCATATCACATACTGTACATGTTTCTGATATTTACCAGTTATTTGATTGCTCTTATGAAACGATGACTCTGTACCCTCTGGCGGTAGGGTAGCCTAGTGATTAAGATTATGATATAAATTCAAAATGGATAGCAACAGTAAAACAATACTAAATGATGTCGGACTGTCAGAAGTATTGCTAAACTTATCTTCATGGCGACTAACGAGATCGGGTGGTCAGGCTCGCTGACTTAATTGATGCATGTCATTGTATCCCAATTGCATGGACCGATGCTCATGATGTCAATCACTGGATAGTCTGGTCCAGGCTCGATTATTTACAGACCGCTGTCATATAGCTGGAATAATGCTGAGTGCGGCGTAAAACAACCAACCAACCAACCAAATCATAGCTGGTTTCAAAGGTCGAGATAATTCTTAAAGACCAATTTATTCAACAGTGGCGAGAATGCATCTCATCAAGTTCAAAAGGTTTATATTACCAACAGTTTAAGGAATTACCAAAATTCTTTTTTTTTCAATTACTTCCGAAAACTATTTACTATTAAGTGTTACGTAACTGACTCCTTATCCTTAGAGTCAAGTAAGGAGAAAAGAGGTACCTCCGACACAACGTAATGAGAAGTATCTCCGTGGCAGTGGGATGAACACAGCCGTGACAGCCAAGTAACACAGGCAGTCTCAACTCGCCTGGATGTGAAGATCACCTATTCAATAAAAAGAGGAAGTGTCCTCTTGTGAACTGGCCTCATCAGAAACTCTGAAAATTATGTATATAGCTAATATGAAAGAGACAGTGGAGTGGCGTTGTTGTTGTTTTGTATATACGTACATCCGTGCTATTATCAATTCATTGTATGTATTAGTTTTGTTATTATCTGGACATTAGTATTAGTATTATGTTAGTATGGTTAGAAATAGACTATTAGTAATAGTATAGTATCATAGAGATCGTCGTATTGTTAGTAGTAAGATATTAGCATTAGTAGTAGCTGTTAGTATTGTTAGTAGGACTTACGTATTAGTAGAAATAGGCTTAGATAGGTAAAGCTAGTGTCAGTTAATTTGGAATTAATTTGCATTTAAGTGTTGTTATTAGGGTTTAAGCGTAACTTAAGGAGGGAATAAAATCTTTAAAAAACTTATTTGTCTTGCTTCAACGTGCTCAGAAAAAGCACACTTTTATACAACCGTACATAACGTTCACGCAATGCTACGGGTAAGTGGAAATCAACATAAACGCGCCTTGGGTAGGCTGCAATCAGGAATGGCGCAAAACGATGTTATCAGACATTTAATGTTCATCGAAACACAGTAATAAGCACCTCACGTCACGTGCCACGGGCCGATCGTCCACGTGGAAAGTCACGTCAACAAGACAACCGTATTCAGTTGTTGCACCTACTGAATCGACACCGAACTGCCACATTAACAGCTCGAACAATTCCTGAATTGAGACTAATTAGTAGCAGAACCGTTAAGGGAAACACAACATCCGACCCGACGGCCAGCGTTACGCCCCGTTTTGCGTCCCTTGGGCACGCCAGAAACCTATGATTGTGGGTTCGAATCCCGTTTCATCCCATTTATGTTTCTAGGTTTGTCAGTCTATACCCGTGCTCGTGGGTTTCACCGAAGTGGTAAACGTCTGAGACCTGCATCAGTTCAGGCTTTCCTGTTACATTAAGCTGACACGCCGCGATATAACTGGAATACTGTTAAAAGCGGCGTTAAACCCAACTCACTCACTCCAATAAAACATGAACACTTGTTTTCACATTAACGTTTGTAGGAAAGGCATTCCCAAGGCAAGTACATATACATGATATTACTTTTTAAACCAGTGGCTACCACACCTTCATTTGTGTCATATATTCTGTTTAATATTTACAGAAAGGTGCATATGGTTGACATGGTGGTGAGTATAACTTGTTTTCTACTGATTTTTAAATGAGAACCCAATTCAATACAGATACTGTGCATACAGTAGATTCTCAACTTCAAGTCTAGTTTACGAAAGATGTCCTAAAAATGAAGAAAAGTTCATCTTGCATGTTTTGTGAATAAAATAAGAGAGGTCTTTCCTGCAGAATAAAAAGAGTACAAGGGTTTCAATAGGCAAGACTATGCACTATCTGAATTTATGTACACCTAAACTGTGCCAAGTATATTGACTTGAATATAATCTGATCAATGTGCATAGTCCTCTGTAGGTGTTGTTGTCACGGATTATTTTTTAACAACGAATGCAAAATTTATTTTCGTGACCAAGTTCTTTTAGTTTGTGTGGATCTTTCTCATAGACAAATGCCTCAAAATGCGGTGAACAAAAAACGGCATTTTTCAACGTTGACATCGCTGTGTCCAACCCTTTCGCTGGTGAATTTGATGAAATGCCACTTTGTACTATTGTTTAATGAACAAGTGCATCCCTATGCAACACAATACCCCATTTAGAGTCTGCAATACGCTGAGAATAACGGAAAATCACTTTATTAGCGTGGCGATGAATGCGCTGTAAACCTATGAAGAATTTTTTTGTTTTAACTGTACAGACTGTGTCGAGGAGGAAGAACATGTTTTACTTTTATGCCCTGTATATAACGACCAGAGGGCCAACCTTCTTACAACATGTAGCTTTACTCGACCTTATTTCAACTCAATGTCTTGTACAGACCACTTTAGTAGTATTTTAGTAAACACGGATCTCATCTTTGGCATTGCCAAAAACCTGCTATGCTATTTTAAGTAAGCGCTGACAGAGTTTATACAGATAATGTATGTGATGTATATGTAAATATATACGTTAGAATATTTTAAGTATACTCTTCGACGAAAGAACCACAATACAGATGTGGGCCATAAAAGCAAAATAAGCGGACCTAGAGGTGCAAAATGAAGAGGTTTAATGTGTTATAGTGTCAGTGACATATTTCCCGAATCAAAATGATCATAAGGACATGCAAACTATCAGTCGGGAAAAACGTACGATTCGAAAAAAGGAACCCCGTGCATTAACAAAAGGACCATGGAGCTGTTTTTAGAGGGCAGGGTTTCGTATTACCAGGCATTTGCATCAACCGAACAATGACAGTTCAACAACATGCCAAGATTAACAGAAATGCAAATAAAAATGTCACTGGCAGCCTGCAGACAAGGGAATCCCGATCAGTGTAGCCAGGGTTTTCAAAGTAGCACCCAGCACCATCGCAAGGCTGTGGGATCGGTTTCAACAGCATGGGTCAACACGTGATCAGTCAAGGTCGGGACGACCAAGAGTAACCATCCCGACCACAGCCACCTCAACCGCATCCCAAATACCCGGACTGCGCAGAATCTCCGACTAGACCGTGTAAGAGCAGCAGGCCTACGAGCAAAACGTCCTGTTCGACGCGTCATTTTGAGTCGACTCTATCGCCAACAACGACTGCATTAGTGTCGAAAACACAGGATATGGCCTTAACAGTGATGGAGATGGGGATGGCAGAGCACAGGCCTACTGACGTCGGGGAGAACGTTACGCCGGAAACAGCGTTAAGGAAGAGACTGGTTTGGTGTGGGTAGCGTTATTATGTGGGCGGATATTTCTCGTCATGGCAGGAAATTTTTTGTTTTAACTGTACAGACTGTGTCGAGGAGGAAGAACATGTTTTACTTTTATGCCCTGTATATAACGACCAGAGGGCCAACCTTCTTACAACATGTAGCTTTACTCGACCTTATTTCAACTCAATGTCTTGTACGATACATCAACGAAATTCTCCTACCACACATCCTACGAAGTGCAGCCAACGGCAACTGTGTATTCCAGCAGGACAACGCTCGACCGCATACAGCACGGATCACAAGAGCATGTCTACACAACAACAATCCCCGGATTTGAACCCGATAGAGCACCTGTTGGATGAATTGGATAGATGGCAACGCCGACGTCAACCACAACCCCAGACGTTGCAGCAGTTGGGTTTTGCGTTGAAGGCCGAGTGGGCTACCTTTCACCAGGATGTGATTCGCATACTCGTCTCTTCCATGGGCAGGAATATGTCAGGCCGCTATCGATTCCAACGGGAGACATACGCGTTATTGATGGTAGCTGACCTTCACTTTGGACTTTTCCTACGTACTGATAACTGAGATGACTACAATCACAAACATTTTGGCTCAATACCATTTACGGTTCCTCGTATAAATGTATGTTCCTCCCTCACACAAATCTGGCTTCGCGTTTCTTTTTTGGAAGAGTATATATTGTGTATATTTAGCTGTTGTAGTCTCCTTATGTAATATAATTTTATGTATTTATTAATTTCATTTTCTGTCTGCACTGGAAACAAAGGGAAATGGACTCTCCTTCTTGGCGTCACGGCTTCAGCTATTTTAAAAGATATTAGATATCCTAGTTGTAGAAAAAGTTTAGATCGTGACTTAAATATTGCGCAAAACGACTTAAACGACTGGTCCAGTCAACATAATAAAAACTATGCGATATTAGTGATTTCATGTATTTGTTATGATCTCTGAGTGAGTAAACACTGTTATTTTAAAAAAAATGTAACTTTTATTGGTAACGGTTTTCGTTTTGAAAATAATGAACACTCGCACTCACCACAATGGTAGCCTGAAGATTGTGAGGTGTAGCCTTGTGATCAAAAGATCAAAAGTTTATGTTCGTGATCAAAAGGTATGTTCATGTTCATGATCCGTGATAATTGAAAAGAAAACTGGCGCATTGCATAGCATATTACCCCTGAGGTAGAAAATAATCATTTATGAAAATTGAAATCATTGAATTTTATTTTATAGTACACTTATTGTTGTTGGTTGGTTTGAACTCTTTTGTTTATAGATATCTGGTTATTGTTTCAATTTGGAAGTCGTCAAATAACACTGAATTTCAATTTTTCCTTGAAATTGATCTATTATAAACACATTAAAACAAATGATATAAACTTCTATAAGGAAAATGTGCGGGCGCAAAGGTTCCTTGATATTAACGTAACTTCTTGGTTATTTCTATTTTTAAAAACATTTCCTGGCATGAAATAATATAAATTATCCCATAGCTTTTCCAGAATTGTTAGTGCTGCATGAACCCTGTATGTGGGTGTACTCCTGCATGTCTTGATCATGTTGCAGTATTTGAAGGCCTCCCTGAAAGAATGCATGTCGTCTAGGTCGTACACTACGATGAACATTGTTCCCTGTGTGATTCGCAAGTCATCTCCTCCGGAAGTGTCGATGATCTCCACAGCTCGAAATAGGCCATCTTCAAATCAACTGTCACTTTACTTTGTCAAGGCAAACTATCAGACGTAAGATAAATACGTCATATATAAATACCGAACACTCGGCGACCGATACATTATTTCACGTGACAGTGGTATGTTACATAGGCCTAAGACAAACAAAATTCAATGGCCACAAGAAATGTCTTCTAAAAGCACAACTGATGGTACTATTCATGAGCACGTGTTTATGAATCAAAATCAACCCGTCACAAACACATGCACAGGCAAGTCAAATGCTCCTCTGAAAAAAGGGAAACATATGGTTCAATTCAAAATAGGGAATTACATCGGACATCATTTGTTATCACTGATGTGAAATGTTGGAGCTTGAGCTGATGGAATATTGCTCAACATGAAAGTTGACTATTGCAAAGTTGAAGTC